TGAAAAGATGCATAGAAACCGAAAACTGAAGGATGTTTGTGAGTATTTTCTGTTCTTGTGCGTCGCTACATTTGCATAGAGGTTACTTCAAGTGTTCATTGAAACAATACAAGTGTTTCACAAGTTAAATGTTTTCCATCTCTGCTAAGCTTTTCTGAAATAAACGTATTAAAACACTGAAATATAAATTACATATAGTGAACAGTTAACAACTGGTATTACATTTCAGGAACAGTTTCCCTATTCCCACATGCTTTACGTTCAGGAACTTCTTTGACCTTGCCTTCTCATTGCCAGATCAGATGGGGTAAGACACAGCCCAGCAAGGCAGGTGGTGGTGCAAAACGTATGGATGCCAACCACAACAAAATCACACAGAAGATGAAGAAGTGTAAGAAGACTTTTACTCTGCAAAGAAAAAAACATGCTTTTTATTATTTATCTGCTTTATGTGGCTTCAAGACATACTTTTCAAAGCCTCAGTTAAAAGGATATGTTTATTATTAAGTTGTACATTTGTATTTGTGTAAAAGACACACATAATAACTCAATGACAACTCCAACAATTAGGAATGACTTTTCATGGCAGTCCTTTAAATATAAAATCTTAGACCACAACAAATGATGAGTGAAGATGCTTCTGGAAATGCAAACATGCTCTTCCTACCTGCTGAACCGCTCTGAGCTACAGAGAGGTGAAAAGGTGACTAATGAGTGATCATGTCAGCCTCCTCCTCCCTACTACAACCCAGGCCTGCATTGATCTGCAGGATGACCCCTTGTCAACCTCCAGGCTCTGCAGCCCACCACCACTAGCAGGCCACATCTTACAGCATCATACCTGAACACAGAGGGCTCCCTTACTCTTCCTAAAACTGAAGTCAGGCCAGTCAGTGGAGTAATCGAATGCACAAGCATGCATGTGCATTCAACACACACCTGCACACCGTATAGAGCCTAAGTACGTCCCCCATATCATCCCCCTGGTTCCCCCCCCCCCTAGTTTGACTAATGTTCTCTTCTAAGTACAGAGGTGGCAAAAAGTCCTTTGTTGGCTTCAACAATACAAACATGCACTTCAAACAGGGATAAGGCTGCTTTACAGGTGCCACATCTCTCCAGATGATGGTTGTCCTCTATAGAAATCTTACAGATCACCCATCATCCTCATTCATGGTAGGTGACACACTTCACACGTTCCCCTCCCTGGCTGTAAAAGAGAACATGTAATGCCATGACTGCTGCAGATGTTAAGATGTTGCCATCCGAGAACGGTTTGAGTCGACACAGTTATTTGTAGAACATTATTTTGTCTGACTGTAGTGTGTCTAATGTTACAAAAGAGGCAAAAAAAAGTGATTAGTATTGTGTGATAAACAACACATTCGTGGATCTTAAGTTAGAATTTAATGGAAGTGTTGGATAAAGGTGCGAGTGTTGTCAGGATCTATTTATTTAGAAAATAGAAGTGAGAAATATCACTTGCAGGCCATATGAAAACAGAACAAATGAGGCAAATTAAAGTCATTTACCGCGGGGTTAGTTTGCATTAGTATAATTTGAGTCAAATACGGTAATAACATGGGACAGTTTTTCAAATGAAAGCTGTCAATATGCTCTAATTTTTCTACTCAATAACAATATTTATCCATCCATCTTCTCCCGCTTATCCGTGGTCGGGTCGCGGGGTAGCAGTTCCAGCAGAGAAAGAGCAATATTTATTTATACAAATATTTTACTTTTAACAACCTTACGATCTGGCAGGTCCGATGTGTTAAATGTCTTAAATACATGTACCGAATCCAAGGGAATGATCTAATTTTAGATAGAAAACGCATAGACATCAAAAGACAGGCTTCAAAGTCAGTAACATAATGAAATGCCCACACACTTCTCTGTAGTGCAACTTTAGCTCATCACCTTTGCTGTGTTTGACCTAGAAACAAGAAGAGCTTTGAGAACGACATTCTTTAAAGCTGCAGTCAGCATTACAGCTGCTCTCTGATATATCAACTTTTAAACAACTCTGCTTTCGTCATGCAGATAAAACCTCAATTCAAACATAATAGCTATCAATCCTAGTCTGCATGTTTGTTATAAGTCATTTTCATCTTCACAACATCAAAAGACCTCGGGAAGAGTGAAAGCTGGCTGTCACCAAGTGTTACTTCTGTGGGAGTATTTGAATCATGTCATCTGAGTGTGGGTCTTTGCACCACCCCACTGTATGTCGCTCGGCCCCACAACAACAACTCTGCATTATTTAAATGCATGCGGTGGTCTCCTGTGAATGTCAGGGCGGACCTCAGGACATAAAATAAAAAGAAGGACACTGATTGCAATTAGTTTAATTGTCTCCCATTTATATGGTTATTGGGTGGTGCCTCTCGTCGCGTCAAAGTTCTCACAGTCAGGATGCCATCTCTCTCACTGCAGCCACCTTAGCTTCTTCTGGCAAGTATCTGCTAACAAGGTTCATCTCACTTGGGTGACAAAGCTACTAGGTGGGTCTGGTCTGAAGGGAAGGGCCCATTTCCTTCAGCCAAAAGACAGCGTTGTGGCAGGGCCGGAGTTTCTGTCCATCCTGTGATCTGTTTCATGTTTTGTACTTGTTTTCTCCCATTCAGATGGTGTGAAAAGTGTCAAAGGTCGAGGTGTGGAATGAGCTTCTGACAGCCTCCCAGTCACTAAACCAAACCTGAACCTGGCTGGCTCCCAGGGCTTTATACACCACAGAGTCTTCAACAAGTCTTTATTCATTTCCCATCATGAGGCAGGATTTAAATGCCATTGCATTTTTTTTATGAATGTCTGGAAAAATAAGTATTCCAAAGTAATGAGTTTCAGTCGTTGGACAAACTGTGAAAGACGGCTTAAAATATAGAATGATGTGGGGGTGGGCAGACTAATGAATCCACATGAATGAAAACGGAAGGGCATCACTTTTTGTGGTGCTTCCACTCTGGAGGGGGTGTGTATCAATCTTTCTTTGAGATAATGGGGTTAGATAGCAGTGAGACCTGGCCTCTGGTGGTGACATTGTTGCACGGCTCAAAGACTATCAGGGGTCCAGCGGCTGAGCTGGAGCACCGGTGGGCTCTATTCACATCCAACCCCTAATCTATCTTGAGATCAGGTCTTTCTCTTCTACAAAGCTCCATCTATTTCTTAACTCTCATCGCATTTTTCTTCTCTGGTATTATTGTTTCTCCAAAAAGCACAGTTGGCTTCTGCAGTCTCTCAGGAATCACATTATAAGCCCAGCTTTATTTTATTCTTCTTTCGTCAAATGTGGATCCACAGCCCATGTTTGGGCATTATGGCCTAAATCTATTAGTCTTCACGACTGACAACTTGTCCATATTCTGAGTGCGTGACTGTGATTAGATTTCACATTCACAGGCATCAGCATTATCCGTGGCCGTCTGCAGACACAGTCTTGCAGGCGATTAAGGTATTAAACATGGGAACTTCATGGCTGTGTCTTCTGTGCTCGCTATAGGCTTACCTACATAAATGCCATGAAAAGAGTTCAAAGCTTGTTGACCTGTCAGTATAGTGGTCTGATTGCTTCTGTTTATCTTGCCAAACATATTTTATTTTGATGAGATTTTTGTTTTGTTTTAAGGATTGCCACCTGTTTGAGTCAGCTGAATCTGAAACGGGGCGGCTGTGGCTCAGTGGATAGAGTGCTGGACTTCGAATCAGGGGGTAGTTCAAGTCGCACTGCAGTCAGCATGTCGTTGTGTCCCTGGGCAAGACACTTCACCCCAAATTCTTCCTGTGGGGATTGTCCACAGTACTGAATGTATGTAAGTCGCTTTGGATAAAAGCGTCTAATAAAAAAATGTAATGAATCTGGATTCACCACTACATACTGTATCCATAAAATTAGCATACTTTGAATCAGTAAAATGTAAAATACAGTATTCTGTTGTCTGAACTATAGATGCAATAAAAGCTGATTCTTAATCTCTCACAATTGAGATCTGCAACGCATTTATTAACTTGTTGAGTGCATACAAAGACATTGCATGACTTCTAGCCAGGGCCGCCTTAATGCACGGGCTGACCTGGGCTGAAGCCCAGGGGCCTATCATGAGCCAATAAAAAAAAATAAAAAAAAATTCAAATATATATATTTTTTATTTCGGGTGTTTTTTTAAAACATTTTAAATAAACAAAGTCTTGGCTTTCAGAATATGAAACTTTTATTTCCAAAATCACACGTGCCAGCCGCGGGGCCTTGGAGCAAAGTAGGCTGTCTGGTTCTGATAGCGATGGAGTAGCGGGAGAGGAAAAACAGACAGGAGGGACATTATCTGTTGGAGGAGATGGAGAGGACGACGAGGACTTGCTACGTGGAGGGGAGCCAACAGCAACCGGACAAATACATGAGGGAGGCCCGATACGTCACTCATCTGGAGGAGAGGACCAGGCGCGCGTAGAGCAGAGTGGAGAAGTGCGATCACAGAGCCTGCCGAGGAAATGACTTTGATTTGTTGTTTAAATAGGAGGCCTACAAAAACCCCAGGGCCTGATGGCAGGTTAAGGCGGGCTTGCTTCTAGCACTGTTGCCATTATTATTTACCATTAATTCAGTGAGGGTACTCCTAAACAATTCATTTTAGAAGTTTCAAACACAGTCTTCAACCTTTTACCATTACTTTGCACCCTTCAGAAATTGAGTTTGTAACAGAAATCCTAAAAGCAGCGAACACTGTGTCATTGCGCTTGTTTTAATTGTCAAAGGCATCTAGTGACTGAATAATGTTACCTACTTATTTAACATTGACCTGTTGTCTTAAGGTTCATGTTATTTGTTTATACACACATGTTATATGTATGATACTGACCCCAGAGTTCAAGAGCCTTCTTTCAGGTCCCAGAGTTCAATGATCCATCAGTGGCTGTGTTTATTTTTTGGCACTCATGATTTGCTGAAATCCACATCATAATTTATCACACGTGTTAATAGTATTCATAGATAATAGAACAAGTTTGGTTGTTTATGTTGCTTTATTTTGGTGTTACAGAGTTAACTTTAGAAATCTACTACAGGCAGTAAGACAAACGAGGCCTGTGTGCAGTCAGTGAAAAAACAGAGATGAGGTAAAAAGGCTACAGCGTTACAAGTCACAACACTGTTTAAAAAAAATGCATTTAGCAAATATATACTTTTACTTACTAATATGTACATAGCATAAAATAAATAATTATAAAAAAACATGAAATTTTAGAAATCCATAAAAACACAAAAAACTAGTTTGTACAAAACTTTGGATTTTAGGAAAAAATAAGCAAATTGTCCACACAAGCAATCAATCACAAATTAAGTTTACAGTAATAGAACCACTATAACAGGTCTTGTACTAATAATGGCTGCTGTGTACTTTATTAAGATGACTTAAAATGTGAAACTGATTATGGCTGCTCATGTTTATTTTCAGTCGACATGAAGAGTCATGATGGGCAATGAAAATATACATGCCTGAGACGTAGCATTACATTGGCTGTAAACAATAACTTATCAGTAACTTTACACATTTATAGTTGAAGTTATCAGTGAAATGGCAGGCGGCGCTTTCATAAACATTCTGTTACTTGTCTCATCTTTCAGTAGTTTTTCACTTTCCAAATAAATAAATACTTTGTTGTATTTCTTTTCAAATGAAGGGAGGGCAACATAAATCATCTTTGCTCTGATGTTTAGCATGACTACAAAACCATATGCAACTAAAATAACATAAACTCTATTTTGGTCTATTTGGTTAAAATGGGAATTACTGTATGCAACAATTAGCAGAACTTCACATTTTTTTCTCCAAACTACATATGATAGGTTTCTTTCACAGAAAGAATCAAATACATGCAAGAATACACAATGAACACAAAAAGACAATAACATACTGTATGTAAGGACATCAACACACACACATACACAATCACATACACACAACATATTATCATTATTTAGCAGCATTAAAATAAGGGAAGAATTGATAGTTTCAGTGATGCTGCTTGTTGTTTAAGTTGGAGAACCATAAGCCAATGCTGAGAATCATCTCATGCACAAGTTTTGGTGAGGATTTGACCACGACTGCAAACTAAACTGCATTATACAGAGCTCTTATGATGCAGCCTATTTTGTTCTTTCTTTGCCATTTGTGTTGTTTATGCTGGGGAGTTCAGAATTGACCTCTATTCCAACAAATACCAAATAAAAGAATGTTATATATGTAAATAAAACAAAAATATAGTGGGAGTATCCCTTTTATAAATAACAGCTTTCCCCACATCCAGTCCCATGAGACATTGCTAATACTGATAAAAACAAGGAGAACATGCTTCATATTTTTCAACAAGTGCTGACCTTTCAGATTTATTTACAGCCGTCTGACTACCGCAGACGCACAGGGTTTCACTTTCTTGTCTTTGGTCACAACTGTTGGTGTTTTTCAAAGCATTGTTACTCTTAAAGTTGGGGTAGGTAATTTTGGAGAAACCAGCTTGAGTGCGCTAGAATTTGAAAATACACAGCCGGAAAAAATCTGCCACTTCCTTACAGAGCCCCTCCTCCAACACACACGAACGCGCACATGACCAATGAGGGCACGAGATAAGTTTGAGCACAGATGGAAGGCTGACAGGCAGGTAGGCCATCCAGTTATTTTAGCAGGGCCGGCTAAAATGTTTGGTCGTGCTTTTTACAGTACTACGGCTTCCACAGATGACATTTTTTTATGGATTTTTTGCCAAAGCACTTAAGATATTCATTGCTATCGGGATGTTAAGAGCATTCCATGGAATATAACAAAAAGTGTATCTCGAGCAGGTTTCTCAAACTTACCTACTCCACCTTTTAGAAAAAGCTTCCAGTGTTTTTAGGTGTTTCCGGAAATGTGTATATTCTTGTTTTGAAATTGTTCAGTTGATACGGCTCACATTGTCATTGAAAGCAAATATTAACTGGTTAGCTTAACTAATTTGAGCATATGTAAACACATTGCAGCATAATAACTACATTCACTCAGGTGCAAGTGCATTCTTACCCAAACATCAGTAACATATTAACACTATTAAAAAAAACTCACTCACACAACGACAATGTTAGTTTTCAGATATACACATACATATAAAGTTGAGGAGGAGAATGCATGCTATTGAGTGTCATGTAAGTTGTCAACATGTTGGAAAAAACAACTTAGAAAACAACATAAGAACATGTGACACTTTCATTGTTTGCCCCATTGACTTGAAAGTATTGGCAGTGCTGTACTATTCTTAACAAATGAACTACTTGGAATACAGGAAAGAAAAAAAAATCACCAATATGGTGTTTGTCAATCAGCCCACAGTTCTCCTTTCCTACATCAGTACATCAGAAGTCTTTCGTCATCGCTAGAGATATCAACATTGTTGTCATCATCGCCATCATATCAGTTCACATGAATGGAGCTTTATGATGTCAACATCTAATCAACACTTTCAGTTGATCAAGGCAGGGACTGGCTCTTTTCAGCACAAGGCCGCCTGCCACAGGTCGCACAGCTTTACAGTCTCTTATGTCTTGTAGATAAGTTGCTGTATTTGTGAATCGGCCTACTGAAGTCTTTCAATTTTGTTGAGAAAAGACAGGAATCACATGTCCTTATTTGCAGGTGTGCACGTCGTAGACTCTCACACACTCCTGACAGCTGACGTAGCAGCACCAGTGGAAAATACAGTGACACTTCTCCTTTCTCTTTTCAGTCCTTGTGTTATGACCTCTGCCGCAGCACAGCAGGTCACACCCATCTATACCATGGGACGTCAGGTTGCAGATGCGATCACGGGTGCCGAAGGAGCCAGTCTCAGGATTGGGGTCACAGAAATTGGGTGAGATTTCATAGTAAACCAGGTCGCGCTCTGTTGGGGGTTTGAAGTAGTTGTATTTTGGTCTCAGGGTCTCAACCCATCCACGGGACTCCTTATGTTTCTCCACCACCATCTCTGATGCGCTGTCATACTTATCCTTCATGTAGTCGCCAATAACTCTGAAGTCAGGCTGAGACCACCAGCACGTCTTGACCTCGCAGCTTCCTGACAGCCCATGGCACTTACACTTGAGAAACATGTTGTCGTTGAGGGACTAAGGATACAAAAAATTAGGTATCAGTGAAATATCTGAAAGAAGAAAAAAATACTACACACAATCAGCAAAAAGAGCATTTTAGGAAACTCACCATTCTCCCTGCCTCATTGTTATGGCGGTTCATGGCTGAGCGTGCATCAGGGCGATTCTCCCTCGCATCAGCAAACTCCCTGGACACCATGCTCCCAAAGTCCACATCCTCGCTGCATCCACCCCACTTCCATCCCTCACCAGGGGGGCCCTTGTGGCGTGTGTCACATCCGCAGATTGTGGCTGAACCATCAGCGCAGGCACGGGTCACTGCAAATGCCACTCCCGCCGAGGCAATGGCATGAACAAATGCTGACTCTCGAGTAGCTGAAAAGAGAAGTTCGAGTATCTGTAAGTGAAAAGTTAACATCTTTGGATGTCACATACTGTAACTTGTCAATGATTGTTTTTAGGATTTAATTCAATTAAATTCAACTATTAATTTATAGAGAAGTTGTCCTGTAATTGCTAGAGAATGGTCACAACATGTTGATTTCTGCTTGTGTTTGGTCTTGTGTGATTCCATGAGAAAAATGTTTCAACGCAGGCCAACAAGACAATTCAAACAAACTAGACATGCTGCGATTTCCATTAATATCGTTGCCTTTAGGTAGTATCTACCGAGATAAGCTGAGATTGTGGTCAGTCAGCCCAGACATCAATCACCCTGTCTCTGAATAAGGCTAGCATGGCCTCTATGCTTCAGTTTGAAATAGCTGACTGATGACTCAGAGGGATCAGGATCTTCCAGAGAGATGAGAGGAAGAGTCGGGGCTGACAGGCCTATAATTAAGAGACTCAATTAAGCTTTTGAGAGGTTAGGAAGCTGCCTCACACTGTGGGGACAAATCATAGACACAACATGGAGATGGAAATGTAGTGTCCATATATGCAATATCAAACAACATTTCCCAGAGCAAGGAGACATTGTTCGCTCCCAGCTTTAACATAATTCATTATGACAAGGATTTTGCCCTGGATATGTGTACTTGTATGGTCTTGCACTATCTCAAGAAAAAATACCTAGAAACATGATAAAGAATATAGTAACACCAGGTGTAAATACGAAATGTACAATCAGAAATTAAAGAAATGTAGAGAAAGGTGTAAGGATCAATAGTGGAATCTGGGGTTGTGTATCTGCATATGTGATTGTGTGTGTGACAAATTCATAAATAGGCAGTACATGGTTCTGTCTAAAGAACAAAAACGACAGAGGGAAAGAACAAAAAGGAGTATAAAGCTAAATAGGAGCTCCTCCCTTACAGCAGGTTCCAACCAGTTTGAGGACTAAAGGGCATTAGGAACAATGATGCAAGAGAAAGGTCTACTGGCATCCTCCACCACCCACTTCATACTGCTATTGTAAACCCACAAGGTAACTTGTTGTGTTCACAATACATTCAAACCTCTGCTCTCATTCCTGGCATCCCACTTACTGCATCCACTATAGATCATTTCACTTGAATATTGAATTATTTTCTATTGCAATCAAGGGGGGCTCCGGGCTGAAATAATTCGACAGTGATTCATAACACATGAATCACAAAACAAACAAAGTATGAGTTGTTAATTTTGGGGCTTCAAGTTAGTGGTGTCTGAGGTTATTACATTCATTTTAAATGTCAAGGATAGGAAAAAGCCTCTTCCAAGCATACAGAACTACATCAGTTTAATTAGACTCTTATCTGTTACACAACAATGTATCATCATCATCATCATCATATAAATATAAATACATTTTCTGGAGTCACAAAATGTCAGTATTGATGAAAGGTGTGAAGAAATATGGACCCAAAATGGTATCTTGGCAAACTCCTTTGGATATGTAACCTTATGGATGACTGGCAATCATTCTGTGGAGCATAAGGGGGTCGAGGAGTTCAATTGGGAGAGGAAAAGAGGATTATCTTGGGATAATTTGAGCAAAGAGAATAATGGGGGCAAATGTAATATGTCCTAGTGTCTCGGTAGGTCTTTAAGGTCGTAGACTTTCTTTTGACCCTCCCACACCCTTCAATAAGTCCTTGATTTCCATAAAAAAAGACTGGTGATGATGTAACATGTCTAATCCCCTCAAACTTCATCGAAGTATATTTCTCTGCCAAGCAATGATGATACTGTCCATGCAAACCTATATTTTGAAGTTGCTGAAATCTATTGTTTATAATATAACATATTACTAAAATATTTGTGCTAATAGATAACAAAGATTCAATGGTTTATAAAAAAGGGTATTACTCCACACATCTCAAAACCAAAGTGTGAACCTTGTTCCATTTTGTTTTTTGTTGGAAAAAGCCAACAAAAGTTTAAGAAACAATTACATTTTTCATACAGTATGTTTTTGTCAATCTACTACTTCTGTATGAAGCGTGGTGTTTCACATAACCTTTACAGCGGTTATCAACACCTGAAACAGCACTTACTTGACCTGGAAACACCAGCTCTTACGGTACATTAGTTTCCCGTCTTAACTTGATTTTACGACTAATTTATGGTATTTCAGGACACTCTTACTCCAACAATGCTCCTCCACCAAACTTTGCCAGACCCTGGCAGGCCAAGTGGTCCCTACAACCTGCTGGGGGGTTGAATCCCCTATTGTGCTGCCACTGTCACGCTGTGTTAGTCCCACAATGGCCCCAGATATTTTATATGAAATTTGCCCTGGCCGGTGATTAGTGGGGACCAAGTTAAGTCATAGCAACAGAGAACTATGCATTGGCTGGACCCCGCTTGTCGGCAGACGGGGAAATCCCTATTCAAATGGTTTAATAAAACAATCTAAAGGGCGTGTGAATGGGGAAAAGCACTTTTTCTCCTGCTTAATCTCATGGTTGCGAAGATATTGTGCTCAGAGCAGTGCCCAGCAGGGAGTGGGGCTAAGGTCCCCCCATCAACTCCATTTACCACACCCCTTCTTTCTTTCTTGCCCAGAGTTAATGATATACTGGTGTGCTAGTTTCCCTCCCCCAGAATGGAGAGACATACGTCTCATGATAAGCATAGACCTCTTAGCTCATCCTAAATAGTTACACTTTCTCATCCTCAGGTCATAGGTCATAACCCACATCCCCTGACCTTTTCCTAGTTAGTTTAGTGGGGACTTAATAATTTAGGGTAATTTATCAGGTGAATTTCCTGGTGACTGCAGACAAGACAGAGGTAACTAAGGAATTAGGTTCAGTCAGAGCTACAAAAGTATGAAAGCTAGCAATCCATTCCACATGCTTTGCATATGATGTAATAGGAGCTTCCTGTAAACCTCATTTACATTTAATGGTTTCAAGTAGAATAGTGATGCTGCATGTCTATACCTGTGTGGGTGGTAACACCTGTAAAATAGTGGCTGTCCACTTTTTGTAGAAAAGTTGCCTTCACTAATTCTATGACTCATAAACTGGAGCATGATTATACCCATATAGTAGGTAGGTGTTCTGTAAAGAATGCAGAAACAGCTCTGGGATCGGCTCCACGGACTAAGAACACCTGCACAGCTTTCTATTACCTTTCATCACAGGCAGATTCCAGCAGTGCGTGTTTTGACACTTTAGTTAATGTAAATTAATGAGTGCTGACGCAGACATAGCCAGGAGCTAGGGATCGTGATTCGGGGTGTGGAGTGAGAGAGAAACATAGAGAGAGGATCAGGCTATGTGGAAGGGAGAGAGAACATCCACATAGGAGAAGTATGTGTCCATTTTCAAGGCAGGAAAAACGTAACTCTTTTATGTTTTGATGCATGAATTTTGGTAAGAGTGTGCGTGACAGTGTGCTTTTAGATCGATGAGTGTTTGTGTGTTTTCAAGCCAATGTCTGATTACATTTGGTTGTGTAAGTGATCCAAGCAGACACGAAAACATTTTTCAATTCTATTATTTTAAACTAGTCTCAACTCAATTTACAGAATGGCCTTCCGTAATAGTCCATGTTTTTATTCTTTAAGTACTTATCCATTGCCTAATCCACCTCTGTAAAACAAACTTCTCATGTCCTCTGTGAAGATGAGGAGGGCATGGGCAGTGATGGGCTAACTGATAGGAACTAAGCCCCTGAAGCCAATAAAGGCGCCTACTCCTCCTTTCAGCTTTGGACCCTAAAAAGGCAGGAGGAAACCGACACACAACAGACTCTGAATCGCAGACAAACAGACACCAGTGAGGACAATGGCCCTGTTGCACAGACAAACACCAGCATCAATCAAATCCAATGAAATGGAAGCCCTCTCCTACTATGCCCTATCAAAGGCCTGTGAGCCCCTGAGTCACTCTCATTGGCCTCTGACAAAGGCACTTAATCCAGCCACTTTGACCTCTCACATTATTAAGGGCCTCAGTGACCTTAATCCAATCAAAATGATTTACTAAAGCCCAGTAGCTGCCTCCTCTTTCCGCTCAGTACCCCTGTAATTTAGGCCTTGGAGGGGCGGCAACGGGAGCGATGTGGTGGCATTTTGCACCACAATAGGGCTCGGATTGAGAACCCCTATCGTTAGCCACCTACTTGAGCTCAAGCCTCTTCTATCAACTGGCTCAGGAGTTTATTAAAAGCAATTGCCCTAAGTAACCTCCAACCCCCTGTGTTTGCATCAATCTTCTGTAAACTAGGTGACAGGTTAAGATCTTCGACCCACAACCCTTATGTTTGACGCTCATTCTCAATGTTGGAGCCTGTAGCTCATTTTAGACTTAGGCAGAGGAGACAAAAAACAAATAGGAAAGACAAAAACCTTAGTAACAAATGTGTCTGCTGCACTCACATGAGGAATTCAATTAATACTTTTTGGAAATGCCCTCATTTACTTTCTTACAGAGAGTTGACGACAAGATTGATACACTCACTTGTGTCAGTTAAATACGAAGCTAAAGAAAGCAGACATTTAGCTTAGCACAAAGACTGGAAACCGCTAGGCAGGCTCTGTCGAAAGGTAACATAATATGCCTCCCAGCACAGTGGGGATTTCTGCTGCCTGAGCCCATAAGTAGACCAGACTTGACATACACTTAAAAGTCCTAATACATAATCACAGAATCTAATGGGAAAAATGTATTTTGAAAAACTCCGGTTCACAGTCTTGTGTAAGTCACTTCAGAGGATTGTGCAGCAGAACAATCACAGGGGATTCCCTCCTAAAGAAAACTCTAACAAGACAGAACTCACTCTTCTAATTGTGTACATTATTTCAGGCATACAGGCTGCTCAGAGCTTGTTCAGTCCAAGCTCTATTTAAACAAGGATTTGAACGAGCATAATGAATGATGCACAAAGGGAGTGCAGCTTTTGTAATGCAAATACAAGACGGAGAGCATATAGATTTGTTAATGGAAAAGTTAATCAACATATATAGAGATATATTAGGTGGCTTTCTATTTTTCAGTTCTAGTCTGTTTTCAGCAGCTTTGAAGAACTAACTTGTAAGAAAGTACCATAAACATAATTTGGGGGCAGTAGGGTCAGAGAGCTTCGCTAAAGAGGTTTGGTAGGTATACACATGCCTTAACTAATAGCATTACCCTTCTCCACTATTACTTAAGTATTTACATGATTTAACTATTGGCCTATTAATTTGTTTGTTTAGGAAAGACATATGTTGCTCTCGTATTTTCATATTTTCTTCTTTCTCAATTAAACACTATTTATCGGCAAGTGGCACTTTTGCAAATTCTGCAGAAGACTGATTTTGTCTAATCTTTCAATCCTGGTATCGGAAAACCTGAATTTAATGATTGTTAGTCATATGAGATATGAGTCAAGTATACCACAGTTTATTATTCCAAATTAAAGTACCAGGGAATCTTTTGGGGGAATTAAAACCTGTATATTTTCTTAATGTCTTTAATTTTTTGTAAAGCACTTTGAATTGCCTTGTGTTGAAAAGTGCTATATAAATAAACTTGCCTTGCCTTGCCTTATATTGGCAGCCTGAATGATGCACACTGACAGGTTATTTGCATGCAAAAGAAAACAGCATTGTATGCTAATGTTAAAGAGAGCAAGCTGCAATGCACATGTCTTTGATGTGTTACATTACCTTTATCTAAAACTGGCCCAAAAATGGCCAGATTGTCATTGACGGTGGTGCAGTTCCAGCGTCGGCCTCTGAACTGGTGCTGGCACTCCTGGATTCCAATCTTCACCCCCTCGGCCACACTGGGCATGATTTCCACGTAGTTTCGGCAGAAGCGCAGCTGCTTGGGCACCAGACCTGGGATACTGCCACAGAGGATGGGTTGAGTGCCCAGTGAAGAGTACTGGTGGCCCACTGCTAGTGACCTACAATGAGAGGGGAAATCACATTGTTATGATTGCATTGTCTCTGTCTATCTTTATCCATTGACTTAACAGAACCCAAGAGGAAGACTAATTTCCCTCTCCAGGTGCAGTGTAATTGAGCGTCTGAGTTTGATTGTGTTTGTTTGCTGTATCAGATGCTACCATTAGGCGTCCATCCTTTATCCCTTCAACTACCCTCTCTGCAGACACCTGGCCTTTGTGTGAATTGAAATTGCAGCCCTGCTGCCACAGAAGCAAGCAGTGTTTCTGTCTAAGATGAAAGTCCACAATGCATCTAGAGGTCTTCATAGACCTTAAGCTGACAACTTGGGAAACTACACCTTGTTATTAACTGTCCGCACACTTAACAGGCCTTCGGCTTAGGGTAATAAGAGTGCAAACCCTACATTGAAACTTCAGAGAGTGTATTAAGTGTAACACAGAACCCAACCCCCCTCTTCCTTTGAGGAAGGTATTCTGGGATACAACAAGTGCAAACTTGGTTCACTGATTACATCTCTCCGTCTCGTTCCCTTTAGTGCTTTCTCTCTGTCTTTCTGTCTTTATTTTCTGTGTCCTCTCAATTAGGACTTTTAGTGACTAGTAATCATAGAAATGGGATATCCATTGTATCATTGAATAGTATGTAATTTAGCTGAATTTTACAAAACATTTAGCTGTTCTGTGCTTGTACATGACCATCTGTTGGCTTTTCCACATCACATAAAGCTTTATTGGCTCAAATTAAAGGTGAGTAATTGGTTTGACTTGCAAGCAAAGCCTTTTCAAAAGGAAACATTTAAATGTCAAGACATTATTGTAATTAAGATGAACAAACACATTTTCTTTAAATGCATGACCCGCTGACCGGAGAGCTTGAGGTTCTTTTTAAATACAATGTCAGTAAAATCAATATCCTGACTACTTGATTATTTAATAGCAGAGTGCCTATTATCCTTGGCAAGGGTAGCAACAAAGTAGCTTGTTGGCAATCGAGACAAGTCTACATTTCATCGCAACTGTCTATTAAACAGTGAACACTGGCAGCAGTATGCTGATCCTCCCTGAGTGATATGGGCTTGATAATAGTTACTGTAGCTGTTGCACAAAGGCAGAGCCAGAGCAGGTGTGCAGTCTCTTGCCGCTCAGTTAGCTCTCCGTTGACCCGTTCACTGTTGTTCAAGGACTAATCGCTGATCACAACAAGATTACTGAAACTCCTGACACTGGCCTAAGGCTGCTTTCTTTAAAGGCTCACAGCCCAAGGAAAGATCTCCTCAGCCAACTGACCCCTGGCTGACCACTTCGGACGGCAAAAAAACAGGATGACCTTGAAGACCAATATATAGGGAAATGTAAAGGCTGAATGAATTTCATTTTCAATATAGCACGTTAATGCTTTCTGTGGTTAAGGTGTTTGTAAACCATTTGCTGAGAGTTAACCAGTTATTCCTCCCGGACAAATATCAGAGTTGCCTGTCACACTGCTTTTCACAGAATATTTTGTCTAATTTCTACAGGCTAGACCGCTCTAGTTAATCATAAAAGAGCGGTTTAGTAAGCAAGCAAAGAGAAATGGGTCCATAGGAAGTCGTATTTGTCTGCAGTTTGTCTGCAACATACATCAGTAAACAAGCACTGGCCTCTCTTTGGCCCTCTCTTCAGACAATACACCCTGAAGCGCATATTTCCCAGCAGAAACTGAGTCTACATCCCAAACTGGTACAGACTTTGGTTTGCCTAACACGCACAAATTCATCAGAGGATCATCATTGGGAGATGTTTACTGTGACTCAAGGCAGGTGAAACAAGCGCTGCAGGCCAGCATTTTGTAGTACTCCTACTGTCAGTCTGGTATTGAACCTCCTCTGCTTCCTTTTCCTCTATGGGGAAACATGTGACGCCCCTGAGGTTTAGATGCCATTTCCATCAACTCCATCATTAACAAAGGCTTTTGCACAAGTGAATGAGCTCCAAATGCATCTCATCAGCAGAACATAGTGCAGAAGAAAGGTCATGTGGGAGTTTCCTTTTGACCAGAGTCTGTAATGAGCCTTATTACTCATCAAGACTACACCTGTGAGGGTCTTTTTACATGATTTCTGCTAGGTCATCTACCTGTGTCACACCAACCCTCATGAGTCAATGGGCTTTGATTGCTCTACTCACGCAAGTCTGTCTCAGCGGGGCTGAGTAATCCATGCCACCTCTTCCTGTGTTAGGAAATGGCCTAAGAGAGGAGGCAGGGCATGTTCAACCGGGGGTGATTTATGTTTTTTTCAAAGGAGCTGTTGCAAAATGGTGAATACCAGCCCTGACAAATATTTCCACTTAAATGCTGGTTTTGGCATATATTGAGTGCTTTGATACACTTTGTTCTAATTCATGAGAAAATCATTCTTCAAAGCAGCTGCCCTCCAAAGAGCAGCAGGTCTCCCTTGAAAAAGAGATCAATGATCTCAATGGGATTCATCTGTATAAATAAAGGTTTGAAATGAAATGAAATGAAAGAATCAAACTGTTGGCATAAGTGGTCAAAAAAGAGGTTTATGATATAAAATAAACACTTTAGTTAAAATTGTTTAAAATACTTAAGAAAAGCATACATCATATTCAATTTGTGTTATAGTATGGCTTTCCCCCTCTCATCTAAGTGTATCCAGCGCAGGTTTAATGCATATTTCAGCAAGCCCAAGCAGGGTACCTTAGAATTACCACTTTACTCGTGGGCCCTGGGGCCTTGGAGCCGACTTTGACATCAAGAGAATATGTTTGGGAAAAGGAATGTGCGGCAAGCTTTCACCTCCAGGTATTTATCTTCTAAGGTGGGGTGGACTAGGGAAGGGGGCGGCGGGGTGGCGGGTGCAGCCAGGCTATGTCATGGCAGGTCGAGTAGAGACAGACATGAACCTGTCTTAGTACAAATCTAGATCTCCAGAGAATAGTGTGGCACAGAGGTTGAGTGTGATGTAGCTCCGATGGCCACTTGAAGCAAAGTTTAGCATAGTCTGTCAGCAAAACATCACAGGTTGCTTTCCACACAAGGGAAAGCTCTTAGGTAGCTGACACGCCGTTTGGAAACGGAGAGACAATGAAGCTGTATTGAGCGCAATCCAAAGGGAACCACGTTATTTGACTTGGGATGAGTTGCTATGTAACAAAAACCACATCAGTTGCCTCATAAGAAAAAAACAACAACTTTAGTATTACGTCAAGAATGTTCAACTCAAAGTGACTTAATGTGCTATTTCTGCTGTCAAAGATTGTTTGTACTGGTAGGAGTGATATAGCAAACGTACTCCTGTTGGGTTTATTTGCCGCTCTTTTGCTCCTGTAGTTACAGTCTTCGATAAAAGACCTGGCCCACCCTCCAATATCAAATCATCAACATATAAGTGAGTTCTTGACTTGCTGCAGTTTTGCAATGACAGAATGGAAACCTGCCATCCATTGTGTCATTCAAAACTGGCTCCACAAAAAAAAAAAAAAGCTCTTTTGGAGATCAAATATAAAGCCCCTCTTTTCTCTGTTAAGCAGTGTGCACAAGTGTGTCAATCAGCAGGCCTAAAACATGGCAACGCACACACTGGCATCAACAGAAAAAATTGCAAAAGATGCTTAACAGGTGATAAAACACAAAAACTAATGTCGACAGCAAGCTGGAGGAGAGCAGTGTAACTGGATGCACTCACTTTTAAAACCAGGACTTTGGACTGGTTTGGGTTGGATTTTTTCCACCCACTGTTTTATCAGGATTTCCTTCCAGCTGTGCATGTAATTAGTTTCTCATCAGTATTACCACCACGAGCCCCATTAAGGGAAGTAATATGGTACACCCAACATCGCAGAAAAGCAGACTATTTAAAGATAGAAAAAATAGCTCTAGTAAGACATTTGTTATTAACGTGTAAAAGCTGAAGAATCTTGTAATACCAAAAAAAGACAACTGAACTAAATAGTATAGTTTTTTTCTTATATGAGGAATTAGGATGCTGCAACATTTATATTGCTCCAGTGCATTTTCTGCAGCAACTCTGTTCTTCTGTGTGGTTAAAAACTGAAATAAAATGAAAGGACATCAGATGCTGATTTCCGAGGACATTTGGAACATAAGGAAACTGATGGGAAAATAATTAGTGATAGAGTGATAGCCCATACCCACAATGTCCATTACAGCAAAAGCTGCAATCACACTTAAAACGGTTGAATTCGTTTTTTTAGCCTTTAGTTAAAAGTGCAAAAGGTGTCCTAAGTCTGACAAGAAAACATACTGTATTGTATTTCAAATGCCATGCTGGTTATCCTCATTAAATTACTTTAAATATTATAAATCACTCAAAGAATACACCATATAACAGTGTGTTGGGTAACATTTCATATTTGTTGTGCCACTTCGACCCCATACACAGACGAGTGGACGTGCGCACACACACACACACACACACACACACACACACACACACACACACACACACACACACACACACACACACACACACACACACACACACACACACACACACACACACACACACACACACACACACACACACACACACACACACACACACACACACACACACACACACACACACACACACAATTGCATGCACACAAACTTTGCACCTGCTGCACTATGAATTAAATTGATCTAAATTGCATCGTTAATGTTGAAAATGTCGTAGTGCATAGCATTACAAAGTAAACGTTGAATTAAGGAAGAAACTTGTTCTTTCGTAAGTTGTTTTGGTTTCTACAGGTCTGTTCTCTGCTATTGTGTTAAAAATAAAATCACGTTTTTCGCTCTTTTATTGCACCTTTTATCTTTAGCACCTTAACGTCTGTGTTAAACGTCTCTAAACTTTATTATTGGTGCACATAAATGTTCCGCTGCTGTCAGAAACGAAATAAAAACCATAACCACACTGACACAAAAGCGGATCATCAAATTATTATCAACATTTTAAAATAACATGTCACCATTCGTTCGTTCAGGGATATAATGAATACAAAACTTACCACCAGATGGGATAACTTGCCATGACATGCGTAAGCCCACAGAGCAACAGGAAACATCCAAGGTATATCATCCTTAAAGTTTCTCTAAAACTTCTCCAGCAGAACGCCTACATGCGCGCTCCTACGCGCACTGTGATTTTAACTGAAGATTGGACAAAAATGAAAAACGAATCTGCACCGGTGGATTTTTATTTCTCTCCTCCAAAAAACAGTGAGGGAGAATCTATCTTTCGCGACTACTCGTGGCAGAACTCGGGAGCCAAATATTAAAAGTTAAAAGCTGCTTGCGTTTTTAGGACCCAATCAGCAGGTATTGCCAAAGGGGGAATTCTGATGATATGTTCCCTCTGTTGCCTTGTCAGGCAGTTTGAACTCAGACAACAGAATGAGCTAATTTTAAGATGTGTTTTAGTGCTCATTGAGAATTGGTCGCATTAGCATGCAGTGTGTGTGTGATATATAATGTTGTTTAAAGGAGAGAGGGAGGGACTGAGGGGTTTTAAATAGACATCGGAACCCCTGTGGATTGCGTAGCTATAACAACCTGTCCGGATTTCACTCCCTGGCTTGAAGCTTCTAAAATGCAGAAATAAATATGTGTGAATTGCTTGAGACCATTAGTAAGGTCTGCAGTCCTTTATTTGTGCCTGCTTGCCATGAGTGTAAAATTAGAAGTTGAGGATTTTTTCCTAAGGACACACTGAATTCACTAAAACTAAACTACAGTGCTAAATAGATTTCCCACCAGAAATCCTTAATGGTTTTGCCATCTATTGCATTTATTTATTGTGTGAAATAAAAACTAAAGTATTTCGCTCTCTGCCACTACATTGTATGATCTATAAATTACACTGTAGAACTGTAGACTGTAAAATGGTAAAACAGTGTTCTTAAAGTGGCATATTTTGAGCATGAATGTAACGAATTTTCCTCACCTGGTAAAACTTCCTGCACTGTTATAAATGATGTTATCAGATATAAAAGTTTAAAGATAACTGTGCGATTAGCTGCCAGACTGTTTATTCCAACGACATATTTGATAAAATTGTCTCACCACTGATTTCAAAAGGGAGACTGTCTGTTTCCCATTCTCAAAGTCAAGTGGCAGTTGATAGCTGATCTAATAGGAGGTGTCTCCATTTATAGGCACTGATGCTTTCTTGGAGATAAAAAAAGCTGTCCTATAGTTGAGCAACATCAGTGACTAATGGGCTGAGGGAACAAAATCAAAAATCAGTTGTTTCTCTTTCATGAAACATCTTCAATGTTATTTCACTTTTGTTAAGTCAACACGTGTTGTTGTTGTTTAGTTAACTATATACTCATAATATTAATAACAATATTATTAGAGATGATTTAATTATGTAAAGTTGTGGCAAATCCGTTTCTTTGCAGGACTTTTGTTGGCTTGGAGGGACATATTATTTACCCCAAAATGTTGCATTTGACCAACAGCATCATAAGCATTTAATGTGTGCAGTTAATTTAAATGCGTTTACTAATTAAGATGCAGTGTTTTTTTAAAATCTTTTTTATATTCTTACCATTGAAGACAGTCAGCAGAACCATTTGCATCGATTCGTTTAGTAATAACAGTCAGCTTGCTTAATCAGCCCCATGGTGGACTGTGTATTTGTATAATTTATGAGGCCAATTTCCTCTTGTGAATATTAAATCAGGAACGAAATACATATTACATTTTGAAATGCATGTAATATATTTCTTTATTTTGCTCGGATTCAACTTTGGGGTAGGCTTTTGAGTTTACCTGAGCAGTTCGAGCTGGAAATAGATGTTAATAAAACATGTATTCAGTCAAACCTGTAATTGTTCTCTAATATTAAAAGTGTCCACATGCTAAACTTTGATGACTCGCATGGAGGAGGCAACACGTGATACGCTTAACCCTAAAGATGTTAGCGCCATCTGGTGGCAACTATTGTGCACTGCAACAGTGGCAAAGGCAACATACTTTCAGACTGACTTTCACAGCCAAATGGTAGAAAGTAACACTTGAAAACATGTATTCAAGTTTTGTACTTAGATGCTACTTTGAGTTATTTGTTCTTTGGTTGAGTATTTCAATTTGTTGCTAAAACTTCAGTAAATATCATAGGGCACATTTTACTTTAATGCATACCTTAAAGTATACAAGTTACTTTGTATATTTTACATAATATAAAACATATGATGACTAATCTAAATTACTACAAATTAGGCTTCCCAGATCAGCCACAATATCATAAGGCTCCTTAAGGTGTATGCAGTATTAATTATAAAACTCTTAAAGGATAGTAGTAGTTGACACCACTTTAACTTAAGTGCAATTTAAAATCCAAGACTTTACTTACAATGTATATTAATATTGTAGAATTGCAAAAATATAACACTTTTCTCACCAGAACTTACATCCACTACGATATGATCATGAATGTCTTTTAATGAATATTACTTTAGTACGGATATTTTTCACCATAAAATAAATCAACTGTCCAGTGATTAAAATGAGTTTCAATTAAGTTATTTTTATAGTAAAGTTAATTGCAATAACAGTGAGTTAATTAGTCTTACATCAACTGCTAATTTTACTACACCGGAAAATGCTTGTGTTTTATCTGTTTTTATTTTACCTACTAATAATTGTTATCATCGTCAACTAAATAATTGTTTCTTTAATGTTGTTTTTTTTCGGATTTTGTCATTAAATGGCTGAACTTCCTTATGCAAAGTTAATAACTGTGGAGCTGCTCAGAGGAGCCCGAGGGTTTGGGCAGCTGTTTGGGAGAAATATGGAAGTTATAGAGCAGCTATGAACTTTTCCATTTTTTCCCTCCCAGTAGCTGTCAGCACTGGCAAAGAGGCCAAGGCAGCGAGGGTGTTAAATGCATGTGAAAAATGTGATGCCTGTTCAGCTTATGGCTACTGACTGTAGATCATGAAGGTCAACAAGAGATTTAATAAGTGCTAACACGTGTGTAAAGCATGTTCAACTTCTAAATACCATAAAAATCATTCAAGTCATACTTTTATATAAAGTGGTGACAAAGTGAATACGCTTTTCCAAAATGGTTTATGTTGGTTTTATCTCCATCAACACTTTTCACACCACGCTGTCTCTGCAGTCCATCCATTCAGTTCTCCCCACCGAGCAAACAGGAGGACATCATCATTGCACCTCTGTGTGCCCACGGTGACCTCACTGTAAAAATGATGTAATCTAGCAAAAGGCCTGTTAGCAAGGATTCATGTCCGACATGTGAGTCTTGTCATTGCTCTGCTTCACAGTCAGGCTGCCTCTCTTTGACAGAACACAGCTTCACTAACATCATGCATTACACAAATATTGATCTAATCACATTTTCATTACTTCACTTGCTTGCCATGAATTTTTCCTTAATATGCCATGAAGCTGTTAATGCTCATTGGTGCATTCAAGGGTCGTATAGGATGCAACATACTGAACATAACAACTTAGGATCCTTGTTGTGTACAAAAGAGATGGCACCACTAGATGTCAGCATTGTAATGGAATTATTATTGTGAATTATATATCTGAACTTTATAATGGAAAAAAACATTATATATATTCACAACTCTTATATCTTAGTCTATTTATATGGCACCTGTCAAGTTAAAAACCAATACAAATTAAATACATAATAATAGAATACAAAAAATACAAACACAATCATCTATGTATCATCGAATATATGGGACCTGCAGAAAAGTCAGTTTTACAGTTGTTGATGCTTTGTAGTTCAAGCAAAGATGAAAAAAACAGGTGAGTGAATATGTCTCAGAATGTACTATCCAATCCAATCTACTTTGTTGTTTGGTTAATGCAGTTTTAATTCTGTAGATCTTAAAAAACGGAGATGTTCAGAAGAGAAATATGACAAAAAGCAGACTACCAGGTCTCTGTTTGAGTTACAACCCTTCCAACGGAAAAGGGAGGAGAGCTGGGCCTCAATAAGTTGTGACACACCCCACGAGCTCACACCTGGAAACAACTTATCACTTTCCCTCGTAATCCTCTGTTAGTCTCCAGACATGGGAACAAAGCAAAGGGTCTGCCTCTGCCTTGACTTTATCTGCAGGATGGGCATTACCACAGGCGTTGACGTCCTCTCCCTTGCTCGCACCTCTTGGTAATACAGGGTGTAAAAACGTTTCTGATAAGACAAATCCTGGGACACAACTTCTAAATCTGAATGTAAACGGTCTTTGTTGTCACTGAGGTCGGATTAGTAGCTTTTGGGCACACCTTCATACGTAATTTTGCCCGAAATGTTTCTTTAACAGTCACTACATCTCATCCCAGTTGAGATTTTAGACGGACGTGTTGGATAACACTCTTCTTCACCGTCAGAAAAACACAAGATAATTCATACTTATAGATATAGAGAGCTATACTCACATAGTTTGGATTTAACAAATGTTCAAAGTGCTTTGCAAAAAAAAGATTAATGATGAGCAAAATTAGCTTAATTTCGATACCAAGTGCAGATTCTTCAGCGTTTAATTGAAATAAACACAACCAAAAAAAAAAAGTAAGAATTGAAAAATATATGCATGAAAACAGATATGATGCTTTTAATGTATTCAACATACAGATACACTATGTAGAAAGATAATGATAAAGGTCCGAGCATTGATCCTTGTGGTACTCCATGAGTGTAGTATTTAAAGTTCTTATAGGTCAGGTTTGGTTTATATCCTTTCATTTAAAGTAGTCACAAACAATAGCTGAGGCCAAGAGAAGCAAATAGATGCACATAAAGGCCTAAAATATGTCAACACATGTAGCCTGTTAAGTCTAATTTTGTCTGTAACTGAAGTCTTCAACTGTTGTGTGAGCCTTCGGTCAAAAGGTTTTTCCTCAGAGGGGACTAGAATAGTTGTGTTAAAGCTGAGGTCACAAATCGATCAAGCAAGAGGGATGAAGCTTTCATAGGCCAGAAAACAAGAAGAGACAGCGCAGCTTTCATTACAGGAACAGCCCTGTATGTCACATCAGGATGCAGTGTTTTCTATCAACTGTTGAAAGAGAGAAAGAGGGAGAGTGTATGGCCTTGAATCTCCACCTTTTTTCAGTCTCTTCTTCCCTGCTCTTTCTTCACAATGACACTTTCCTCAGGGTCAGCCGAGGTCGCAATCAGCTGAGAGGGAGGCTGTACAGACTGCAGCTGCTCTGCTGGACTCTGTCTTGTTTCATTAATGCTAAATAAAGCAGATCATACTGTTCCATCAACACCACCTGCTGGTCAAGAGCACGACCCATTCACTGTACGTCTACCATATCGTCTGTCTTCGCACAGCCACCTGTACTTTCCTGGCTCCAACTCTTAACATGTCACTACATTTACTGTTGAGACTGCGTTGTGTCATTGTAGATGCTTTCTCCAGCGAATCGAGGTAAACCTGGATGAATGGTCTTGCTTGTTCAAGAGCAAATAGAAAAATTGCGATTCTGTAA